TCCCTCTCCCTCTCCCTCTCCCTCTCCCTCTCTCTCTCTGTGTTATTCCTTCACTAATCTCGCTAATCTGGAAATGTGGTTTATAATTTATTCTGACCAGCAGGTGGCGATAACGTATCTTGTGTCCCACACAGGGGAACCTAGCTTTCTGTTTCCACTTCAAAAGGAGTCAGCTTTTGGCAACTACAGGACTCTTTCCTACGTTGTCCAAAAACACCCTGCCTTCTTCACGAGGAAATGCTTTATCACCAGACACAGAGGGTACTTCCTCAAATCCCTAGTAGTGTCTAAAATGAACTATATTTGATATTTCTTGTTTTAAGATTCCTTTTGAGACAGGGTTTCTCTCTGTGTAGCCCTAGCTGTCCTAGAACTAGCTCTGTAGACCGGGCTGGCCTTTAACCCACAGAGATCTACCTGCTTCTGCCTCCCCAGTGCTGGGGTTAAAGGCATTCGCATAACCATGCCCATCTCCTGTGTTTCTTCCTTTTACTTATGGGTTTGTGTCTGTATCTGTCACATGTAGTTTCCAAAGATGCCAGAAGAAGGTTTAGGTTCTGCTGAGGCTGGAGTTACAGGCGGTTGTGATGTGGGGCTGGGAACCAAACTCAGGTCCTCTAGAAGAGCAGCCCATGCTCTAACCACAGCACCGCCTCTCCAGCCTTTGGTATTTTATACTGGTTTAAAAACTAGCTATTAATTTATTTTTATGTGTATTCTGCCTACATGTGTGTCTATGCAGTGCATGCCTGGTACTCACAGAGGCCAGAAGAAGGCATTAGATCCATTGGACTGGAATTGCAGATAGCTGTGAGCTGCTATGGGGATGCTGAGGACAGAACTGGTTCCTCTGGAAGAACAGCCGGTGCTCTCAGCCGCTGAGCTACGTCCCCAGTCCCACTGGCTTTGTCGTGAGACTGGGTTTCATGTAGCACGGGGAACTCCTGATCCTTCCGAGAACTGGGGTCATGGACATGGCACCACTACACCCGGCACATTAGGTAATTGTCCCTCCCCAACACCAGACCGGAAATTTAAATCCACAAGTCCTTTTGCTTGGCACTGAATCACCGAATATTAGTGAACATACAATTACCATTAAGAATGACAAAACATGCAAGTGGGTGGAAAGTGCAGGGTACAGTGTATCCGCCAGTCAGCTGTTGTGATGACTGTGGATGTGTCCTCAGCATAAAATAAACTATTACTATAACCCCGTGACCCGTTACCTGGATATTTAAGTTGTTAAAATTCCGAGATAAAATACCAACTCTACTTCACACCTGACAAGACGTTGCAAAGTCAGGTGTGGAGTAGGCCAGTGATCTCAACGCTCTGGAGGTAGAGACGGTAGGGGTCAGGAGTTCAAGACTAGCCTCAGCTATATAGGGAGACTGGGGTTAGCCTGGGCTGTATGAGATCCTGTTCCAAAACCCAGCTCCTCAACACCATCCATGGAAAAGAAGAAAAGTTATCAAGATGAGAAAATGGGAAGTTGTTGGAGTGACAGGAGAAAGAGTCTCCAGAGTTGTCTTGTTTTGTCTGGGGGGTAGGTGTGTGTGTGTGTGTGTGTGTGTTCATGAAGAGAAGTGCCTTTACCCATTGAGCCATCTCTCTGCCTGAAATTTGCTGCTTTATCTGACAGTACCACCTCCCAATAACAGCTCAACTGTTGTCGCTGAGCCTTTAGCATATGACTTTTCGGGGACTCCTAAGATCAAGCCATCACCTGAGCCTGAGATGTGAACCGAGACATTCTCCAGCCCTGCAGCCAATGCTGAGAGCTTTAGTGGACCTCATGGTGTTCTGTAGGTCAGGAGTATGAGCTCGGGTTACATTTGGAATATTTATTTATTTATTTATTTATTTATTTATTTATTTATTTATTTATTTTAGTGTAGCCATGGCTGGCCTACTACTCACTATGTAGACCAAGGCTGGCCTTAAACTCACTAAGAACTACCTGCTATTGCTTCCCAAGTGCTAAGATTAAAAACATACACCACCACACTTGGGTTGTTGTTGTTGTTGTTTTATTTTATGTGTGTTTTATCTGTGCGCCACGTGCATCAGTACCCATGGGGGCCAGAAGAGGCCGTCAGATTCCCTGAAACTGACTCACGGTTGTGAGCTGTCATGTAGATACTGGGAAACACATTCTGGAAAAATAACCAGTACTGTTAGCCACTCTCTCCAGCTCCGTTTTTTTAAAAAGCCCAAAAGATGAGGAATGAGAAGAGGATGAGGTGGGCTCTGCAATTTGACACCAAAATTGTTCCAGGTGATCTAAGTGGTCCAAGTCTGTCATCCCAGCATTTGGAAGTCTGGGGCTTAGGTGATCTCGAGACAGAAACTAACCTGAGCAAATTTCAGGCCAGCCTGGACTACAAGATGAAACTCTTTCTGAGAGAAAGGAAGAAAGAAAGAAAGAAAGAAAGAAAGAAAGAAAGAAAGAAAGAGAGAGAGAGAGAGAAAGAAAGAAAGAGAAAGAAAGAAAGAGGGAGAGGGAGAAAAAAGAAAAGAAAGCAAAAAAGAAAGAAAAGAAAAAAGTCTGAGGATTGGGGAGATAGCTCAAGTCACATTGTTAGCCCTCGAGCACAGGGCCCTGACTCTGGACCTGGCACTGTGTTAAAGGGATGAACACTTATAATCCCCTC